CTCCACCGAATAGCGCGTCGTCGACGTAGACGGAGTCGCATAGTATCGGGACGGCCGCCGGATAGTCGGACCCTTCGTCTAACGACAATTGTTTCAAAACGCGCATCGCGAGATACGGAGCGGGAGCGAGCCCGTACGTTACGGTCAAAAGCCGGAAATGCGTGATCGGCATGTCGCAGGACGGACGCCAGAGAATTCGTTGGAAGTCGGTATCAAGATTATTCACGAGGATTTGCCGGAACATCTTGGCGATGTCTGCGGCATAAACAAAACGCCACTGCCGCCAGCGCAGCAGAATAGCGGGGAGATCTTGCTGTAACTTCGGTCCGACCAGCAGATGGTCGTTAAGCGACGTGCCGTTCGTCGTTTTGCACGAGGCGTTAAAAACGACGCGTAACTTCGTGGTACTACTCGTTTCGCGTAAAACCGAATGATGCGGAATGTACACGGGCGTAAGAGCGGTGTCGCTGGGACTTTCGATCGCGCTCATATGGCCCAAGGCGAGATATTCCGCCAAAAAGTCATTATACTGCGCGGAGAGTTCGGCGTGTCGACGCAGCTTCCTTTCCATTTTCTCGTAGAATACCGTGGCGATAGGCAGTGAGTCGCCTATGTCGATTGGCAGTTCGTGCCGGAAGGGCAATCGAACAATGTACCGTCCTTCTGGAGAACGGCTATGAGTAGCGAGGAAGTGTTATTCGCAACGCTCCTCCTCGTCGGTAAGTGGAGGGGGGTGCGAGACCTTCTCGTCCTCCCAAAATTGCCTGAGAAGCGAGTTCGTGTCGTGCGTAGACACGTTATGAGAGACGCAAATATTCTCGGATTCAATCTGGCCGCGACCCGTGGGGCCGGAGAGAATCCAGCCTAACGCTGTCAATTGAGCGGTAGGCGTTCCAATAGGGCCTTGCCGGAGGCCATTTTTCAACAAGAAACCGTACAAATCGGCTCCGATTAGTAGGTGAATCCGATGTTGACTTGAAGGATCGGGATCGGCAAATGAGATGCCTTGCAAGTGAGGCCACGACTCGACGGGCTGAGTCCGTGACGCGGCGTACGAAGTAATATTTTGAAACACGTAGGCGTGCAGCGGAAAGGCCGGTTCCGCACTGGAACACGGCTTTAATGTCAGCACGACGCGAGATCTCGCGACGCCTGTAAATTTCTCGCCGAAACACGTAACTTGCAAATTTGAGCGTTGTCGCTTTGTACGCAACGTCTGACAGAGCGATTGCGAAATAAAACTGAAAGTGGATCCTTGATCCAGTAAGGCGCGAACTTTAAAGCTTCGGCCTTCGGTTGTGTGAACGTCAACCCATGCTGTTGCCAAGAGGACATTCGAAGGTACTGTGTTCGCGGGGGGATCGATCCGTTTGTTCGCGACATGATTGCTGCTCGCAGCGACTGGCGCGTTGGACGCCGTCGGAGTGAACGATTGCGCCTCCGCTTTTATCTTCGAAGAATTTGCCGTAGCATCGGCTTTTACATTATTTGAGAAATGTAGTAACGAGTGATGTGAACGACTACAGTGCGAACATCGAGATTTGCTCGGGCATTGCTGAAGGAAATGCCCGAATCTCAGACAATTGAGGTAAAGCCTGCTTTGACGCGCGAAATCGCCGCGCTGCTCAACCGTTTTATCAAGAAACTCTTTACATTTCGAAACCGAATGATTTCCGGAGCAACCAACGCATTTGTTTGCAGTGACGTTATTAACCGACGAGCGCGGCTTATCGTCTTTGTAACGACGAGTATCCTTCGGCGAATCGGAAAGATCGGATAATCCGCGAATGCGTAGAGTCAGAAAGTCATTAATATCTTTGTAAGACGGAAGCTTGGCGAATTCCGTACGTTTCAAATTCCATTCGCTGCGAGTGCGAGGACTAAACTTTTGAGCAATAAGATAAACGAGCAGATCGTCCCACTCATTTACCGGACGATCGAGATTCTTTAGCGCGGTTAACGACGAAGAGACCGTATCGCGGAGTTTTCGCAAGTCGTTCACATTCTCCGTTTTCATCACTAGTAGACTAGCAAACGCGTGCAAATGCATATGAACTAAGGTTTGCTTGTCGTCGTATTCGTCGATCAGCAATTGCCACGCGGAGTCGTAATTAGTCTCCGAAATTTTCAAGTTATTGATCAGCACCGCGGCTTCACCGGCAACGCTTGTTTTTAAGTAATAAAATTTCTGAACTTTAGAAAGCGAAACGTTACAGGCCACGAGAGACTCGAACATATTTCGAAAACAATATATTTATGACCGTATATTTGAGAAACTCAATTAATATTAGGGTGTAACGGCCTCTTACGGTTGGAGCTGGATCTTCGTTGCTTTAAATAATTCAATTTTGAATTACTAATATATACTATATATGTACTTGCATATATACCATATTGTAGTCTTTTTTCAAACTGCGCGCCGAATTTTTTCCGGACTAAATAAACGCAATTAAAACTACTCTAGTAATCGTACGGCGAGGTAATATTTTTCGCAATAAGTTTATTAATAGTTTTTATAGATTAACATCTTTATAATATATGATGCTTGATGGTAGCATCAAATTATTAAATTGTTTGTCAATTTAATTCGCGATTACTAGAGTAGTTTTAATTGCGTTTATTTAGTCCGGAAAAAATTCGGCGCGCAGTTTGAAAAAAGACTACAATATGGTATATATGCAAGTACATATATAGTATATATTAGTAATTCAAAATTGAATTATTTAAAGCAACGAAGATCCAGCTCCAACCGTAATAGGCCGTTACACCCTAATATTAATTGATATTTCGAAAACTCTCCCATTCCGCGATTTTACCGGTAAATTTGGCAACGATATACGTGGCAATCGCGAGATCTGAGAACCCGACTCGCGCGAAACAGACTCGTCGTGACTATCGGATAATGAAGAGTTAGTGTTAGCGGGTAACAGTCTACTTAGTGCGTTTTGTAGAATGTCGCTGGTGTTGGCATAGACGTCCTCGGCTTCCAGGATTACGTTGTCCACGAAGTAGGGCAGGCTCTTTAGCTCCCCGGACGTAGCGGTCTGCAACAGCAGGACGTGTTGGCTGCTACAGGCGGCCCAGAGCTCCTTCAGCTGGGAGATGCGGCTCTGGATCGTTGGCGCCGTCACACTCGCCTTCGGGAGTTTTTTGTAGTTGATGAGCACACGTTTGAGAGCACCAATTTTGTACTCTTGCGCTAAGATCAGATTCTCGGTTTCCTCGGCCATCGTGAGGTACGTTTGGAATCGGGGCGCGCGTAGCGGCACTCGCGAATTAATTTTCGAAACGAGGAGCTCGTCGCGTCGACGAAAGTCACTGTTACGAGCGGAAAGCAAATCGCGTTTTCCGCAAGAGTCAATTCACGAGCGAGACGCGAGTAGCCGCGTTCGCGTGAGTCACTAGCTCGACGGAGCTCAAGGAGCGTCCGCGAGCGGCAC